CTGTCGGTTGGCAATCTTCCAAGCCACGTCATTTAGCGCACTGGAGTGGCCTCGGGTTTGCATCACATATGCAGCAATGGGGCCCCAGGAATAAGGAGCAGAGGATTATACTTCCTTCTCGGATGAGATGTGCCGGTTGCGAACACTTGTTGTGTGGTGTTTTGTGTGTCCATGCGTGATGTAGACGCTAATGAGGAGAAATGGGATAATGTGGTATAGCCGGTGGTGTTATACCGCAGATTTTCATGGGGGTGCATGTGGTCTACTAGGCCGATGTGATGGTTGAATGTGCGTGGACAGCTCGGGCAGGTGCGGCGAGGATATATTGGTGCTCCTGACACTGGTTCACCTGTTCCTTTGCGATGGATTCGCGAATGACCGACCAGACCGATGCGTGTACTTACGCAAAGCCCAGGGCCTCCGCAGAAATTCAGCCAGTGTCTTCCGAGGTGACTTTATCTTTGCCAAACATCCGCCAAAAAATAGATCGGCAAGTCACCTGAAATTTTATTCGATTTTGTCCACTTGACACTTTGACCGTGGGGAGTCGGCTAAATTTGTCGAAAGGTCAACAATTCGATAAACCTGTTTTGGTGAGTCATTTCTCCCCTTCTAATTACCATCAAGAAACGCTCAAGGCAACATTCTCATACGTATAGTTGCTTAAATATCGCTATCTCCATCATTGTGTCTTACGGGAGTGGTGTTAATAGGGGTTTTATAGTTAGCTCTAGTCACAGAAAAGAAAAAATAAATTGAAGAGTCAAGTGTATAAAAACGGACAATAACAGGAAGTTAAAATGACAAACAGAACCAATAGGAAACAAGACCTGCACAAAAAGTACCTGCAAGTAGGCTACAAACCAATATAGACTCTATATCGGTATTTAGAGATTAAAATAAGATAGTGCAGTACGATAAGCCGACAAGCAAACCTATGTTGCTTTAGAAAAATAAATTGAGTTAAAAATTAAGCTAAGTAAGTCATTAACTACTAGTAACCAATAAACCGTCGCGCGACAGCAACCCGACCATGGGGCGGACAAGAAGAAAACGCGGGCGACTTTGCAGTGGATGGACCAATACCGTGAGGGGGCACTGTCACGCAGGAGTACGCCAGGCTTGACAGGCGAATGCACGATGACTCAGCACAGTGATGCTGATCACGGACTGCCTCATAGCCATCACTGGGTTCTTCGTAGAGGCGCAAACTTTGAACGAATAATCTGCGATCCACTGGTGTGGATAATTTTGGTTACTACTACCTGTCGTAACATGATGACTCAACGAACAGTCACCCAATCTAATTCGAACAGCGCCGTAAATTCTGACGGCTGTGCTCCATCAGATTTGCAGTGATACCTTGCAGAATCTCAGCTACACACCGCTTGGGTGGCCAATCGCCTGATGTAGGTGTACGCCTCCAAAAGCCCGTGGCCTCTACCCGGAGCAAGGAGATGAGAGATTAGGAAATCTAGGTGACCGATCACCTCCACTTCAGTTGCCTGCCCCCTCCCCGCTTCGTCTGCGACAGCAGGACTTGCGAGAGTTTCTTAATTAATGCTGCCAATTTCAGCGTGATTTCGCGTGCACCTGCCAACTGTTGCTGCAATGAGTCCGGCTTAGTTTATCCAGACTATCGACTTTTACTAGCTCCTCTATTTCGCCCTCGTATCCTCCTCTCTGGGCGAATAATCCTGTTCTCTTCACCTGTCGAACTCGATTATCGCAGTCTCACCCCGTGCTGTCCCTTCGGGACTGAGCTTACTGCACTTTTCAAATCTGCGGCCAGGTGAGACCAATTTGAATAAAGGATTGAAGAGATACAATAACCACGTTGTCGCCTATGCCATCTAGACTTCGAAGGAAAGCGACCGTACTAAGCTTTGAGTGGTGATTTACTGACAGTGTCAGATGATTAGGCAGCCTCGGCCAACTTCGCGAACATTTGGTGACCAGCCTACCTCACAATCATCGATCTATGAAAGCTATCAAGACTGCCTGGCAAGAAAACGTCCAAATCACTCTCTTTGTGTGTCAGTTTTTTTAATCCTGACTACTTACAGGTAGAGGGGGGAGGAGCGCTAAGGGCAATTCATGCCAGGCCTGCGGATGATTGATTCGAAAACTTATGTTGCTTGTTCGTGGCCTTTGCCAACCCATATGGAGCTTTTTTCACTTCGGGAACCCCATAAATCATTATGCGTCCATTCATCAAAGAGACCTGAGTCGGCCCTGGAGTATCCGCGTTCTCGCGACAACCCGGCGCAGCATAATTTCCTCAGCACAACCAGTCGAAAGACGCAATATCAGAAAGGTCTTCTAATTACAAAGTGTCCCCTCGGCAGGTGTATGCAAAATCGCACTTATAACTGTCACCATCGTCAAGTAGGAAATGTTTGCGAGTCCCTAGGACAGAGAATGGCAGGGGACGAGACACTGATGAACTCCGGCTCCATTAAGTGTTTAGGGCCCATCCGCTAGACCCACGTTCCGTTTCCAGCCGGTCGCCGGGATTATGAATGGCTGCATGAGGACAGAATAAACCCAAACCGGACTATATCACTCTATCCACATTTTCTGTAATCTCTCTCCTTTCTTCTCTCCGAGCCTTTTGACGGACCGGATGCGCAATCAACTGCAGATTGCATGCAGCCTCTATCTAACGTGCGCAGCACCGGCTAAGGACATGCAGACTCTGCGTGCGGGGATAAGGCAGCTCAGTCGACTTGAGGTACTATAAAATAGTGTGAGTACAAAGGGCACCACCTCCGAACTGTGAGACAAGTGGAAAGACAGATTAATGACTGTACCCAAATAGTCTGATGAAGAACTACATCTGCCGCAGCTTTAGGGAATGTTCTTGAACTGTACTTAGGCTAGACGACGGATTTAGTCCGAAATATACTGGCAGGACTAACACCGAATAGGAGGTGGACTGATACTTTGACGACCAGTGCGTTCGATCTATCGGTCAATAAGAATTGGTGACAGAGCAATCAAATACTAGAGATTCCATTTCGGCTTTACTTAAAACCATTAGGCAAAAATGACTGGTGATGGTAAAGTAGTCAGAGAGATAAATACCAATTTACCTCCTAGATTACTAAAAACTCTTCACCGCCTGGAAATCTTACCTATACCTCAAAGCCGAAAACGGACGCCTGTATCCCACCTGATCGGTAAATACCTCCACTGGCCCTAAACATCTCCAACCGCAGCGGAGAGCGAGTTAAGCGGTTCATAGTTCAACTGACGGAGAATCTGGCTCTAATGTCAATCACAAGCAGGTTAAAAGCTCGGGTTCTCTGGTTCCATGGAGGAGCAGGCCCAGCCAATGATCGAAAACAACCACTAGTTGTAATTCCGGTTCCTTCTCCTTGCTCGGCAGAACTCCCTGATTACTGTATATGCGTGGCCCTGAGGGCGTTGGATTAGAACTAAGGGAAT